CAAGTCGATTATATTTTATTTTGGAAATGTTAAAGATATATACATATATATATGTAGTATATTATTATTTTATTTGATACAATTAAATGATATGTTTAATTAAATACAATTTATATGTCGTGGTACATATATCAATCTCATATCATTTGATTATTTTGATTTATTTACTGACTTAAATCAAGCATACAATTATGTACCTACACATTTGCATGTGTATCAATATGTATATACCTACATATCGTGAAACTTCTCTAATCTTATAATTAAAGTACTCAGATTCATATAAAGATTCAATAAAAATGAAATATATTTTCTTTATAAATGTTTAATTAATAATTTTTGTAACATTGACGTGCCATTTATTCTTATCAGATGATTACAAGGTTTCGTATAATAATTTTTATGCTGAACTTTGGTTTATTTCTCTTTTTTTTCCATTTTCCTTTTTTTTTTTTTTTTTTTTTTTTTCTTTTTCTTTTTTTTTTTTTTTTTTTTTTTTTATAAACGTCAAACAACAGGAGTAAAGTTCGCAAGAGCGTGGTTAAAACTCGGCCGCCGGGGTAAAAGGAAATAAAAGAGGACTCGACTTAAGGGGTATCTATATTTAACGGGAGAGTGAAAGTAACACGAACCTGTAATTTACAACGTTGCGAAACCACAGCTTCGACGGCTGCTAGCTTCCTTTCTTTTTCTTTTTCTTTTTCTTTTCTTCTTTTACTATCTTTTTTTATTCTTCTTTCTTTCTTTCTTTTCGTGCGGTTTAGTTAAATCAATGAAGAAGACAAGGACAGAGAATATACGTTAATTAATGCGTCGTTTTCACTGTTGGTTCTGTCCTGTCACAACCCCACCCATCCCCCCTTACCCGTTTCGTTGAAAAACTTTTTAATTCGTTCGAACACTTTCATCCCTCTCCACACATCCCACCCCACGACTTTGAAAACATTTTGTCAAAGATTATCGAAAACTTGGCCCTTGGATGGCCAATCGCCGGGCAAAGGATGACAACTAACGGCCGATCATTGACGTTTTCTAATAGCCCATAGAGGGCTCAATATCCAAATGATAACCCCGGCCCATTAATGGTAATTGATCATTGGCCGATTAATAATAGT